TCATGCGTTACATGCTTATTACACGACAATACACACTTTGTTTCGATTTTAAATAGTTAATTAAAAAGGTACGTTTTGCAAATAGGTCCTAAGCATTTCATTTAGCATAAATCGCATAACCATAGTATATTAATGTGCGAAATACATACGAACTTTTGTTTCTTTTTGTTTCGTGTGGGGAGGGTGGTTGGGCCTTACTCAACTGCGATTAACAATAATATATATTATTTATATGATATGTTATTTTTAAAAAATTATATGCTATGTAACTGTCGTATTTAACTTATGAGAAAGACCGATGAGAGGTTATTTTTTTGTTCTTAGATATGTTGCGTGTACGGACAATGAGTTATGAAGTTATACAACAGTGTTGCATTAATATAAAGACAAGACCGCTTTCATGCATTTCTCATTCACTGATTTTAGCCGCAGTGTGTCGGATTAATAGCAGATTAGATGTCCAAATCCTCACACAATGAACTTTAATGTTTATTTCTCTTAAAAAAAGCAAATGTAATAGTCATAAGTCAAAATTCCATTTTCAAAGTTTAACAATTTTCTCAGGTAAAATTTTCGTTCACTAATTATTAGGTAGAACACATTTTTTCTTGCTTTTAAAATGAATTGAAAGGTTAACTTGTTTAGTATGATTCAGGGATTTTACGATTTGTAAATCTTTCTTGTTTTTTTACCGTTCCAAAAAAGATCATAACTCGTTAAATATTAACGATAAAACAAATCCAATTATACTACTCAAATTCACGTGACATTTTACATTAATTGATACTGTTTCATTGTTATCCTAAGAAAACATAAAATTTTGTAGGTTAATCATAAAAAAGACTGATAAATCAAATTTCCTTGCAACACTTATTCTTCCACTAATTGAAATAATTTGCTGAACTATTACCATTCCTCAATTCACAAAATATTTTTATTTAGTACACGGTTAATTTTTTTTTTACTTTCGAATTCCAACTTATGCCCAAAAAACGTAAAATACGAGAATAAAAACGATGATACAGAAAATTTTAATATAATTTGCTTAGGTTCCTTTGTTATTATTTATTTCGATTTATTAATAAACTAATTAAAATATCAACAGATTTCCTCCTTGATCTGCGAGGGATGAACCTGCAATTTTGTCTTTACCGACCATTTTGGTCTGTCAGACGCGTTTCGGCAGTTCGCCAACTTCAATGTTTAATTAGGATAGGTCTAAATATTATTTTAAAGAGGGGCGATCACGATTTATTAGAAATTCATGAATGATGTCAAAAACACGTGGCCAATCACCTTATGGCGTTTGACCAAGAATTAGGAGCACCCTCACACCCTTTGGAACATAGCTGCAAATTGGCATGTCGAAACTGAACAAATCAAAAAATAAAGAACTAAAAAAAGAAACGACTACATACAGGATGAAATGAACAGGTGTAAAACATTCAAAGAGGTCCCTTAGCATCTCAACCAGGAAAAAAAATATTTCTCTCTAGAGGTAAAATTTAAGAAAAATAATAAAAAGCATCATGTTGCCAAGGCCAATAAGCGAAGAGAAATCACGAAAAGTGCTTAACTAACATTAGGTAGTGCACTTTCTGGGATATGGAAATAAAGAAGGGTCAAGTCACGTGGTTTGTTCACAGTATATCTGGCCGCAGTAGAAGAAAGGAAGACTATCGTCACCGTTGACCCGAAGTTAAAAGAATGGTTTGGGGAATAATTGCTAAATAATGTTTAAGTAATAACGATAATGGATTGATTCTGTTATATTTTTATCGCTGATAAACAAACATTAAAAAATAGATTAGATTTTCTTGGTTCACATGTATATTGAAATTTCGTGACATGTTTTTCAAGACATGCTCTCAAGTGTGGGCGAGCTGTCAAAATAAACAATCCGTATTGCACGGTTCCAGAAGAAATTTCAAAAACAAAGACAATTTGACAGATAAGCCCAAGGGCGCTTGGTTGACAAGAAGGCTGGGTCTTTTTTTTTATTGCCAGCACAGGTTTCCTGTCAAATGAGGAAGTGGAAAATGCACTAAAATTTAACACGATATGCACCTTTTATCTTTTTTTCGTGATTGTATTGGTTGTTTTACATAAGATATTTTGTTTGTCTAAAAAATCTGGCTTAACCACACGGTGTAATATACAATGTTTCTATAAATGCATTAAAGCAAAATATTAAAGTTATAATTTTTTTATGAAATGAATAAATAAATCAGACACATCTTTTTAAAAAATAGTTCTATCGTTTGAAAAAGGATTGAACACCACATTCACTCCATCATTTATCATTTCAATCAGACACATTTCCAACTGACCTCAACCCCTGTTGAATGCTGGATTTACACACTCTTCAGGCGTTCTGCACATCTGATTACATACAAAATGAATTATTTTTTAAATTATTTAACTGATGTGAACACTTTTCAAACTTGTAGGAATGTTCGGAAAGAAAGGTATTCATAATTTCCGTACCAGCAGTAAAGGACACTAAATCATTTTATCAAAATCGTCTGCAGAAATTTTAAGGCAAAGCAATTAATTAAGGTTTTAAGTTGAGATAAAAAAGTTAGTGTCACGTGACTTCACGATAGCTCAAGTGGTAGAGTAGCGGCGTATCAAGCCAAAGGTCGTGGTTCGAATCCCGCTTGTGCCATTGACATTTTTATCTCAACTTAAAACCTTAATTAATTCAATGTTATTAATTGGTCAAGCGGACCACGAAAAATAGTGGAATTAAGACAAATGTTGACATGCTTAAATGTACCAACAAAAACTTGCATTTTTTGTCACGTCTTGAGCCACTTATATATCGTGAGATTTCCTCTTAATCTCTGGGGTGATGAAACTCCTAAGTTTTAAAGAATTTTTTACTTATTGATTATCGTTTTGGATGGATTCTTTGTTTGGAATGTCACGCCTGCAAGCAATTCTTCCACCTAAGAAGACTCCGGGTATGGCATAAGAAATAATAGTCCAAATTTGAGTCATGTCTTAATAAATGTATGTTCCATTAAGTAACTTTTTCGTATAATTTGGTTGTATGTAGTATTTTAAAGATTTTTTTTACTTATTGGCTATCGGAATCGATGGATTCTTAGTTTGGAATGTCACGCCTGCAAAGCAATTCTTCCATCTCAGAAGTGTCCGGGCATGGCATAAGAAATAAAAATGCAATTTTGAGTCTAATCTTAATAAATTTATGTTATTGGATGGATTCTAAGTTTGGAATGTCGTGGAAATTTTCCAGACGGCCACATCCAAAGAAACCTCCCAGACATTTTTATCGGCGGGATTAATATTAAAAAAAAAGTGGGAAACAGTACGAACTTGACAAATAACCACTGTTTATCTCATATTTGGACAAAAAAACTAAGAAAAAAGACAAAAAGAAAAAAACCACGCCACCACTGGAAAAGCGTGATCGGAGTCGGCGTTGTAGAGGGGCGAGCGGCTGCGCTGGTGGGGGCCTGCTTAGTTATACCTACCCAGCTGATCCCTCCGCTTCAGTCTGTGTCCGGGAGCGTTTCAGTTTTTTACTTAGACCCCCATTTTTGAGTTCTATTTGAGTTCGTTTTATACTCAGTTTTTAATCAAAATCGGAGTAAAGCACGCCCTTTCTTTCATTTGGGAATGTTGACTCACGAATTCAGAACAAACGACGTATTCTGTGATCAATTGACTATGGACTCGAACAGGTAAATTTTTTTCTCTTACACTTTCTCTTGGGCGTGGTTTTTTAAAAAAAAATTTTTACAGGTTTTTTAAATACTTTTTTTTAAATGATAAAGTCATGTTTTCTTTGTGTTTCTTTTAATTTCTAAGTTTACACGGGTTCTGGGTTGTTTTAAAAGCCAGGGATTATTGACCGGACGTTCCTTTTGGAACAGGTTGGTTTCTCGGCTCTCTCGCTTGCCACACTCTGCATTATGCAATTCAGAAGCGTTTTTCAACACTAAAACAGGAAAAGGATACAATACTTTAATAAAAAATAAATTTCACATAATCAGAAAAAACAATAAAAAAAAGAATTCAAACCCTAACACATAACCTTAAAGCTATACCCCAGAGCATAAAAACAAAATATATCCCTATTTTAAAATACTCGAAAAAATATATATTTTAAAAAATTCAAAAGCTTAAAGAATTCTGACAGAATAAGAAGATAATTTGAAAGAAAAAATATTGAAATGACCTCCATTTGAAATGAACGAGTTATTCATGAAGAATTCCTATCAAATTTCGAACTTTTTTCCCTTCTGTTTTAAATGTTTAATGCTTTTTGCCGGCTTCAGATTTACATGATCGTTTAACCTTCACCCTTCGAAGGGCTACGCCCTGAATCGGTCCTTTTTTGATAATGTATTAAACAAAAATATAATAAACTGGGATTTATAAATCGAGGTTGTTTATTTTTTTGACTTTGAACCGGTTTCCCATGGATTCGGGGTATCAAAATTGTTTTTTTAAAATTGTTTTTACTTCGCTAAGGAATGAGCCGGCAAGCGCTTGCCAAAAGGGCCGAAAAGGTACCAAACAAGATTTGTTCATCTCTACGGTTTCGCCACATTTACTAAATCTAAAAGTATAAAGTAGGATTAAGGGACGTCGGTTTGGCGTTGACACGGCGTTCATCACTATAAGTTAAAGGTCCCGGGTTCGAATCCAGCAGCCTTGCTTTCGAACCCATACTTGCAGTTGGGCTTTTTTTTAAAAACACCGGCACCCCCTAGGGTTTATTACCTCCTCGTAAAACACACTCATAAAAAAAGTAATCTTAATTTCTTTAAATATATTTATCTCAGATTAATTCACTTAAAAATTTGCCCACCGCATGAACGAATCGATAGTTTCCTCCAATTTAAATTAATCTGCGAGTATTTTTTATACAGAAAAAGTAAAATGCGAGAAAAAGAATGGGATCCCTGATGGCAATCAAACTGTGGCCAGATGTTGACCTACAAGCGGCCTTCACAGTGTTTTTTTAATTTTTTTTTTTTCATTATTATTACTGTCCTTATGTAGTCTGCTATTTAAAAGGGGGAAAAACAGCAACAAAAAAACCTAAAAGAATCTTTATTTTAGAAAAGAAAACGTTCAGACTTTCTTCGGTTGTACTTGCTGACGCCACTGCGAATTTTTTGTCCAAACTAGGCGAACTTTTGAGAGAAAAACACATGATTCTTACAACAAAATTTTTTTGCTTTTAGTCTTTTGATTTGTTTAGATCCATTCTAGAAACTTGATACTTTTTTATAAACTTATCTACAACGTGGTGGGAAATTCATGGTTTACTAATGTGTTGAACTAAAAATTAAAAATGACTTGATAAGAAATGGGCCAATTTTCTGACCAATTATAGGTCTAGTTCAACTCATAAAAATGTCTTTAAAAAAAAAATTAAGTAAATTTCTTTTCTATGTTTTAGGCATTGCATGAGGAGAGTGGTCCCGCACAAGGAGGCTGAATTCTCTAGTCACAGCATCATGAAGGCTATGGAAAGATTCGTGCAGGCTGTGCAGGATATGGATGAGACTATCCTTGTCCCATCACGGCTTATGGATCTTGAAGTCGGTGATGCGAGTGACACAGTAGAGTTGAAGCCCAAGGGTATGTCCACTGACCTCTACAGGCTGTATATGATGGTGAATTGTGTGAAAAATGAACTGCTATGGGGAGCTAACAGCGGAGAAGTGGATGAAGAGGAACCCATCACAACCGTGGCAACTTCCTTGACAAAAGGCCATACAAGGAGGCCGTCTACTGCTTCTGTGGCTTCCACTCAATCTGCGACACTCAGTGATACAGACAGTGAAATGAGCAATGAAAATGACTCTGGTATCGAAGGAGAATCGGAAAGCAAGCCAGACTACACGAGGTCTGTTGAAACGAGTTTCCGAAGACACCTTTATGGACTGCAGCGGTCACTTAGGCAGATGACTGCTGCTGCTGCATATCTAACGAAGCGCTACCAGAGCGATATAGGAGCGAATCTCTGATCGAGTATGGATCGTTTATATACGACCTATTCCCTCCCAGTGCCCTGACTTTTGTCTGAGGATGTATAATGTAAGCTTGTGAGAGTGATTTTTGTTGTGATATGTTTAATCTGCATAATTACACTGTGGAGTTTAAAGCAAAATGTCTTTCCTTTTTATAGAGGTCATTTAAATAGTTCTACGCCATTGCGTGGTTATTATAAATGTGACACATTTTGAGTTTATACTCTCGCGCAGACTCTTAAAGGAACTCTCATTATATTTATATTTTACAATATTACTTTTTGCCAGTTAGTTTATCATTTGTATTATTCCTATGTTACAGCGACCTAGTCAAAACAAAATGTACACAGAACTTGTCTCATAATTCTATTTTTTATTATTTTATTGCTTAAATTATAATATTTAAAAGAAAAAAATAAGGCAAACAGGCATAGGTAAACTGGTGTTAACACTTTATTCAATCTGAAAATATTGTTCATACATTTGTTTTGCCACCTTAAATTGTTCATCCAGTTAATAATACTTTAAAAAAAATATATGTGAGATACAAAATTGATACTTGTAAAATAGATGCACATTTGTGTAGTGCCGCTGATCATCTGCTGGGCAGATTGATTGGCCAATCGACTGTGTAGCTAAGAATTTCTATATAATTGTATACAAATTTTAATACAAAAAATTTTTTAGAGAGAAAAAGGATGTATGTTATTCTCAGTGAGATATGTAGAGAAGGTTTCTTTTTATCTTTAAAAGGTGGCTGGAGTTATAATTAGAAAGTCATTTTGTTTGAGAAAGAAAAAATATTTGAAAAGAAATTTTATTTATAGCCCTGTTGTAAGTGATAAAACCGTTTTGTTTTAACCTTTGTTGTGTATGCCAAATAAAATGCTATTTTCTACAAAAATAAAAAACAAATTTTACTGACCCCATTGTCAAAAAAAAACATGTATCGATACAATTATTTTTGTGCAATTGTATTGAAAAAACAAACACAATTTTGAACAAAACAAAATACAACTATTTGTATGCTAGTTTTGAAAGCACGTTGAAAAATAAAGTGAAGAGGGCAGGTAAGAATGCTTCAAGGGAGAACACAAGAAGAGAAAGTAGAAGACAAAGGTCAATGTTTGATACCTTCTAACATTTAAGATACAAATAATAACAGTCAAAATAGTTGAACTTGTTACAAATGCAACTAACTACAGATTATTTTGAAATTGGTGCTATTGTGCTAACAATACTGAATCGAATGATTCCTACTGAAAGATGTATAACAATTATTCATTAAAATGGTGATGAATTGTATTGGACTGACACCTTTACAAGTCACACAGATTTAAGAAACAAAGGGAAAAATTTTACAGGAGAAAACAATGCTAATTATTCTGTTCCAATTAACCTCACTGAAGACTGCTTGTAATTTTGAATAAGATGATGCATAGAGCTTACAGAAAAATTTTATACTTATTTTAATCTCCTTTTTTAAATTAAGACAGTACTTATATTATCTATTTCCGGTAGGTAAATTCGTCAATTAGTAAATGAAAAACGATTTGAAAAGAAACCAGGTCAGAATTAGATAAATTAACAAATGATCAATTGCATTTTTCAATTATCAGGTGAGAGTCAGGAGGTTGGGGGTTCCATTGAATAGTCTGGGGGTCTTTGCCCTTTTTACAGCTATAAAATCGTTACACTGCGATACTGGTCAGACCAGGACAGTTTAAGTATTTATTGTAAATATTTTTATTTCTAACGATCGTTTAATTTTTTGTTTCTAGTTTTATCGACCATATTTAAATTTACCGCCTGATGTCGTAAACAATGTTTCAATTCAACATCCGTCTGGTGTCAACTAAATAAAAGCCTACGAATGTTGTTAGCACTTAAGGCGCAAATTCAAATCGTTGCCTATATTTTTTGAAACGGTTAATTATAATTTCAAACAGATTAAAGGATCTGTGTAATCTGGGAACCGTTTGTCCTCTTGGATTCGGTCTCCTTTCTCCATAGGCCTATTTCCTTATTCTATTCTTATCATTGAACTTCTCGCAGGCGGTAACTACAATATCTCGGCACTCTCTACTTCCCGCTACCTAATGGTTTTGTTCTTTTCATTTCTGGAACACATACACTTTCTCCCTCGGCTTCTCCATCACTATATTTTTCATATATTTCCTTCTTATTTACCATCGGTAATATTATCGGAGTAACTTTGCCTATAACTAACGTCTCTGCATATGTGTGCATCCTTATCCCTCAACGTGTTTTAACACTCGGTAACTCTCTTATCTATCGCACTATATCTTATTTTTGATCTCGCATAATCCTCTTTACTTTCTCTATATAACTGGGTTAGTTCTGTCAAAACCCATCCTTCTCTATTTCTCTCCCTCTGCTCTCTCTGTATGTCTCTGTTACTGCCTCTATTCATCATTGTATTGTCTTTTATTTGGTATTTCTATTCTATTTTATAAGGATTAGTTCTATCAACAATTCATATCTCTCATTCTCACTCTTTCTATTATAATTCTTCTTCCACTTTTCATTTTCACCTTTAAGTCATTCTTAATATTTCTATCGTTAACTCATTTTTACTATTTGTTTCTTTGTCTGGCTCTTTTCTCTCTCTCTCTCTCTCTCTCTCTCTCTCTCTCTCTCTCTCATTCTCTATCTATCTCTATCTCTATCTCTATCTATAGCTATCTATCTATCTATCTATCTATATACATCGATTTCTCTTTTTCTTTCGGTTTGTTCGTCCGTCTTTGTCTGGCTTTCGATCTCTTGCTCACTCTCACTCTCTTCGTTTTTGGCAGTATTTTTCTCGGTCTGTTCGTCTGTTTTTCTTGCTCCCTGTGTCTGTTTTCACCCTTGATCCCTCTCCTCTCATTCTCTATTTCTCTCGCACCCCTCTTCTCTCTCCCTCACCCATTGCCTCTCGTTGGTAGTAAGAAAAGTCCAACTTGACCTAAACTTGAGAGATTAAATAAAGCGCTTTATAGATCAATTTCTCGCCCTTTCTCTGCCTATCTACCTATCTATTGTTCCATTTGCCTATATGTTTTATTTTCTCCTTTCTCTGGTTCTGTCTTACATATATACAAATATAAAAATTGAGATACCTGAAACATGGCCTTTCTCTTACATTCGCTCTCTCTCTCTCTCTCTCTCTCTCTCTCTCTCTCTCTCTCTCTCTCTATCTATCTATCTATCTATCTATCTATCTATTCGTCTTATACTCGCGCTTTATGTCTTTTCTCATTCTCTCGTTCTTAAGGCTTTTTTTTTATTTTTCCTAATCAACTCACATGCTGTATCAAACAGTCTATAACTTCTTGCTTTTGACCTCAGTGACGCACTCTCTCTTTTCTCTCTCTAGTTGTTAAATAAATTATTATTAAAAGACTATTTTACAAACTAAAATTTGTTTTTCATACTATGATAATTTGGTATATTCCATGGTAATTAGATGGTTTCATTTGATAGAATAAAAATACCAGAGACCGAGAACCAATTTCTACTTGCAAGAATATGATACTCAAGGATGAAAAGTACTTTTATGTAACATTTGAAAGTTGTTGGGTTGGTTTTATTTTTAAATCAGTCTGTTCTTCTTTCGATCTAAACTAATCAATGAAGGCAAAAAAGCAAATGAAAATTACAATTAAAAAGTGCGAAAGTTCTCTCTCATTGTACTCCAATCGTTATTTTACAGTATTGCTAAGGCTCCGATGTTTCTTCTAGATTTGCATTACACAAACAAGCCTATCGGGCAAAGATGTTTCTGTGAAATTAAAGAAGTCGTTAGTGATGATTTCAATTGCTTCCTATACTATTGCACGTGATTGAACCATCATTTTGCATGGAAATGTAAAAGAGAGGATAAGTCCGGATGGCAAGTTCTGGGGGGGAAATCTATGACGGTGTTGAACAATTATTTTCAATCTGTGCTATTTTCGTCAAATGATTGGGGTGTTGTTAAACCATTATAAACTGGGGAAGATAAAAACACAAGGTCAGTTGATGTATTCGCACAGGACTTGGAATCCATCTACTTGGATCATTTTAAGAGTAATAGTAAACAACTTTTTCCCATGCCCAACTTTTCTTCCTTTTTAGTAAACGAGGAAGTGAATAAAAGATCACAAGTGGATGTTGCGTTTCGTGCTTGTTAATTAAATTATGTTTCGAAGAGAAGGGTGTTGTTACCGTTTCTTATTACCTATGCAGTGACCGAACACCGGACGCAACTTCGTTGCACCATAGTCACAGTTTGCCCGTTCTACTGGCCCACATAAGACCGATGCGACAAACGTCGCGTCCTCTGGTCTTCAAATCGGAAGAAGACTCCCTCTTATGTCCCGATTCCAAGGTCTAAAGTGTTGACAAACTGTTAGGAAAGAAATCGTGCAGGCGCGTCACTTTCGGCCATGTCGCAACGTTTCCTTCAATTTGACTTTTTCTCAATGGAAATTAAAATAATTGCATAATACAAGAATTCATTATCTTTTCTGTAACGAATTAGACAAGGCGAAATTCTATTCAGGCTGAACCCGCGAACCTCCGCCTCAGTTTATTCACGAGTTAGGTATCTTCTTGCATTTATTTATCTGTGAACACTTTCGTAGTTTCATTTTTTCCTGTCAAAAATATTCAAAAACCAACTTTTTGGCTTTTAAATACTGTTTTGTGTTCGTAAAGGCCAACGCTAAAACAGGATGAAACATCTGCTCGGTAAATGGACTTATTGTGTACCGAAAAGATAAGTTACATGTGCGTATCAACATTTGCTAAACTAAAACCCTTGTGACAGTGTAAAGATAAAGATCCATTGTCTAGAAAATTAGTACGGGGGGATTGGTTTCGACTAACACCATATTAGCACGTTTGTCTGAATCCTTTGAATAAACTATCAGTAAACAAAAAAACGCCCGTAATGAATAATAGTGATAAAAAGTTTCCAATTTTGAAACATACTTTTTTTTGCTCATTTGACTTATTGTTATGTCTTGACTTATTATTTCCTTGGTAATGTGGCGAAATTTTATTTATATACAAGATGTTTTCTTCTCAACTAAACACCTTAATTAATTGTAATGTATTAATTGGTCAAGCGGAACACGAAATTAGTGAATTTATATACAAGGTGAAGTGATCGGAATTGGTCCGAGTATCAGTGTTGAGTAGTTTAACGTTCATCCATTCTTAAACCATTCAACACAGAGAATGTCGTTAACTCGATCTGCGGTGTAATGAACCTGTAATTTCATCTTCACCGATCATCTTGGCCTGCCGATCCACACTGAAGATGGTGAAATGAAGGATAGACAAAGATGATCGGTAAAATGATGAAATTACCACAATCGATTAACTTGCTTTATTTAAAATTAGTAAAAAAAAAATCAAATGTATTCAACCGTTCCATAGTTTTTGTTCCATATATTCTTATTTTATATTAAAAATCAGGGATAAGGCCTATTGAAAAGAAACTCAGTTTTTCGTTGTGCTTTTGAGGAATGCATT